AGAGTCAGCCAGAATCCACATTTTGCAGATTCCAGGCTCAGGTACTGCTTGGGAGAGTATTCAAATAATGCAATTATGAAACTGTATTTGAGCATTATTTAGCATAGGAAGAAACCCTCTGCCTCTGCTGCCTGGGGGCCCGAGTCGCGTGTTCACTGACATCTCGATGTGCTCTGGCATCCTTGCTGTGCTCGCATGACAGTGACATTCTCCTTTTCACTTGACAACGAGTTATTTGCCGTCTTTTCTCTAAAGCACAGAGAAGATCTTGAAGGTTTGGAGAATTGCCTGAGGGACGTGAGGGACCCAGACTGATAGGGGGAGCGAGTCTGGAGCCTTGGGGCTGGCTGTGATGCTCTGAAATGCTGGCAGGAGGAAGTGAAAGCAATACTCTTGCTGCCTGCTCCTCCAGCTCCCCTCGGCTGCCGGCAGCTGAGTGTCGGGCAGCTGGTCACCGCACGGCTCCTGTCGCCGCACGTTTGTACATTGAAACCCTGCTCTGCTGCAGACCCGGCAGCAGGGCTATTGCTTTTTTTCTTTTTCTTTTTTTTTCTTTTAATGTTTCTAAGTGCCTTTTAGAATTGACTCTTACATCAGAAAAGTTAAAAAACCTCCTTGTTTTAAGGCTGCCCAGGACTGTGCGGTGTATTGTAACTCTGCACTGCATGTTCCAGTCCATTCCTTATTCACCATAGTAGCTGAATGTGTTACAAATATGTGGTGTTGAGCAAGTGTATGGGACCAGTTTCTGTTTCTCAGCTGGAACAGGGAAGGGTTTTGTTGGTCTAGGTCACAGTGTCCCCTAAAGATGGCAAAACTGTGGAAAAGGAGCAGTGTTCAGTACAGCTCCCTATGGACTCTGAAGTCCAGCATATTTTTTTAAATGCCTTACATCAGTTCATTCAGATATGTTCAGCTGGAGCTCAGGGTTCCCAAAGCCAGAGGCTGCTGGCAGCTGTTGGGAGAACCCTGTGCCTGCTTAGGAGCACTCCCAGGGCTGGGACATCCTCACGGTGTGTGTCAGCTCTGGGGTTTCTCAAAAGCAATAAGAATATTGAATTTAGACTAATTGCCTGCTGCCCATGTGATCGCAGTATAAAACACTCTGATAGTGATGGCAAATGCTGTTACTAGAAATGCTGTTGGTTTCTGTTCCACCTGATGATTCCCCGCTGGAGGAACAGCAAGCAGGTGGTTGCAGACCAGCTTGTGTGTGCTCCCACATAGCAGCTCCTCCTGCCCCTGCTGCTCTGGCACCTGGGGGTGCCCTTGGTGTGCTGCTGAGCTGGGGACTGAGGCACATTGTGACGAGGGTTTGGGAATGGCAGGCGATACCTTGTTGGGGGCAAAGTGTTTGCCAAGTGCTGGAGCAGCCAGAGTATCCATAAAATCCAGAGGGCCAGTGTTGGTTCTCATCCTTTATTTCAGCGGTGGTGGTCTGTGAGGTCCTGTGCCTCGGAGACACCTCTCGCACTGGCTTTGTCACCAGTGAGCTGGGTGCCTGTGCTGCCAGCCCGTGGTACTGTTCATCCAGAGCCTCCCCTCCTCTTGGCCACCAGCAGGAACGTGAGGAACCCCACTTGCTTTACAGAAGAAAGAGCTCGGCGAGTGAAATGCAAGGGAAACAGTGTTTGCAGTGTGAGGAGAGCAGAGCAGCAGCCAAGTGTTGGTACACCTGACTGGGGCTGTCTGGCACGTGGGGGCGGCTCCTCCCGCTGCGCATGTGGCTGGGGTTTCAGGCTGATCGGTGAGCGAGATGGCAATTTCTTCAACAGAAGCACTTAATTGTGGGTTTATTTTGTGAAATTAATGAAATTCTGTGCTTTGCTTAATGTGCAAAGCAGGAATGTGTTGCTGGCGTTGTGTTTGCAGTTCCTCAGTTGTGTTTACAGCCCGAGTGACTACTGTGAGCTGGCTGAGGATTGAGCAATATTGGAAGGTTACCTACCAATCCAGGTGATTTGAACAAGGGCAGTAATACCTGTTCATGCTATGCTGTTCATGCTCAAACACAGATCCTCATCTTCATCTTGGAAAATCTGTCTTTTTTCCCTTCCCTTTGGTTCATGTTAGGGTCAGTGAAAAGGAGCTGGGCAGTTAGTATGTCAGAGTGCTGGAACTGGAGTGACTCCTGTAAAGCAGAGTAAACAGATGGAGGGTTTGGAGTAATTCACTGCCCTTGTGACTTTAAAAAAAAAGTCCAAGTTAAATTCTTTTGAATAAATTAAATTAACGAATTAATTTTTTACACTTAATGATAGCCTAAAGAAAAAAAACCCAACTTCATAGTTAGTTTTAGCATATTGTACACAAAGTATAAAATGTTGATGGTATTTAACCGCCTGACTGGCATTAGTAACCTGTCACAGTACCTCTGAATATTGGTCAGTGGTATTAGGGTTTTTTGCTGTTTGACAGTTCCAGGTTCCTCCACAGAGGAGGTTGTAGATGACCATAGTTCAGCAGCAACAAATGTGTGTCCAGATACCTGTACAGTGGCTCCAAATCCTTTGTCTGTCTGGTGGGAAAATAAGGTGGAGTATTGTTTCCTCCAGGTGATGGATCTGGTGTGATTTTCTTTACCTGTGTCATCTGCTGTGGCTTGTCCTTGTTAACTGTACATGATTATCCTGAAATGTAGTATCAAAAGCAAAAGTGGAATCTGGTGTGTGGGGAATTAAAAGTTGGAGTTACCAGTTATGGAAACTCTTCTTGAAACATGAGGGAGTCAGGAAAGTGGATTAATTCTGTTAGTATTTACCTTTTTATCTGCAGGAGCACCAGCGGTAGTGGTGGGTACCCCTGCACTGTGTGTCTGTGTCTCTGGCTTGCCCAGCACTGAGTAAAATACTCAATGGTGTTACACAAGGTGTGCTTTCCGTGTTATGCAAGGAAAATTGTACAACAAAGTCAATTTAGAAACTCAGTCTCTCTGCCAGGGCCTGGCATGTACACAGGAATTGGTTTACTTGGCGAATGAATGGGAACTGAGGAGATTGTATTTTGTAGGGGATTGAAATCCTGTCATCTTGGTCTCAGGTTTGCTTCTCTTAGGGTGGCTGTTTCATTTGGAAGAGAAAAATCAGAGAATTTAGATGAGAAAGAAAAACTAGATATGAAGGGAAAATCAGTGCAAATGAAAGCAAAGGTTTTCTTCTGCTGGGGCACAGCCTAAGGAGAAGAGGGGAAGAAGCAGTGGTCTGTGTGGGGAACGGTGTCCTAGGGACAGCAGGAGGGGGCATAATCCTCTGCAATGCAGGGGAAGAAAACCCAAGTCGCTGTGTTCATTCCTTTGTATCTGGTGCCTGTGCCCTGCTGTTGACAGACCTCAGGAGCTGGGAGCTGTTTGCAGCACACAGCCCTGGACCGGGCCGGGTGCTGGAGAGCCCCGTAGAGCTGTCCCACTTTGGGGTTGTGCCCTCCCCCCGCTCCATTGTTGTCCCAGGGCTAAAATGTTCCTGGAGCTACCTAAACTCATCTTTGCAAACTTTCTGTCACCTGAGAAGTTGTGAGGGAGCCCCACGATGTTGTCCTGCAGGCATGTCCCTGTCATGCACCTCTGAGGTCCTGAGCTCTGGGGTCTTCCTGCTCACACAACTCATGTTGATGCCTTCAGACTTAATTATCTGATGAGTCACTGCAAATCCGTGTCCGTGCTGTTGAGTTATTGCAGAGTTGCTGGGTTCCCAAACTGCTTTCTTTGATATTGAGGCTGTCTGGCACATCTGCAGTGTGAGCTGTGGTGAGGGGAGGCAGTCCAGCACAGCAGGGAGGGAACAACAGAAACGTGGACTTTACTGGTTTGGCTCACAGAAACTGGAATTGATAAATGCTGGAAATAATGGCAGGAACTGAGTTTTAAGGTCAACAAGCAGTAGCTTTAGCAGGAGGGTTTGCCAGACATGGTTGCTGAGGGGGAATATGGACCTTCTTGCATTCTCCAGCAGGTTCCTGACTGTGACACGCATGAAGCAGGAATGACATGGAAAGATGAGACGTTTTCTGGAAAAACATCCAGCCAGACTAGATCCAGACGTCTCAGTGGGTGATTCTCTGACACTGGGGGCTTCTTTGCCTTACAAAGGCAGGGTTTTCTGCAGGGAGTTTTTTTCTTGGCTTCAAGCACAGGGCTGGTTTGGTCCAGATAAGAGTCTCCCAAAACTTAGTGCCTTGCCAGGCAGGGGGAGAGATGCTGGAATGAAAAGGGATGAAATGCCCTTGGTGGTTGTCTTTCTCCAAAAGTTATCTGATGTAAATATTACGTTCCCTGCATAAATTTAGTATAGATAATTGACTGCATCTTGCTTGGAAATGGGTACCAAAGGTTGTTTTATAGCTTCTGTGTAATTGAAATTCCAGAAGGAGAGGCCTTTGTCTTGGAAACCACATTTGAATTACTTTTTTATTGGAGTGTTAAAGCAATACGTTACAATGTGAGGGGTTCAGTGTGCGTGTGTGTCAATAATTACCAGATTTCCACAGTTACAGTGAATAAAGAAAACTGTAGAAAAAGCGTGTCGAGCTTTCTCTGAAAAGCAGCCATCCAGCAGTTGTGTTGACAGCCAGGAGTGTTCTGACCTAAGCAGAGCCTCCTCGGCACAGGTAGGGGTCAGTGCCAATGCAGGACCCTGTGCAGCCTTGTACCCTCGGTGCTGAAAACAGTTTGTGAAACAAGAAACCAATGCTCCAACGTGGAAATGGGAAAACTTTAAGGAGCCTGTCTGCAGGGAGGTTAATAATAGCGAGCCAAAGTGGCTGGAAACAGGAGTTGCCCAGCATGGCTGCAGGAGGGACAGTGGCTGCAGGAGGGACAGTGGCTGCAGGAGGGACAGTGGCCACTGGCACAGGAAAGCAGCAGTGTGCTGCACAGGAAAGCAGCAGAGTGTGCTGCACAGGAAAGCAGCAGAGTGTGCTGCCGTGGGCTGGGTGTGGAGTGCGAGAGCTTTGATGTGCTTCCATAGAAGGTTCTAGTTTTACTCACTGAAGCTCCTTTGTTTTGCAGAGATCTTGATGCAGACGCCCTTTTGGATTTCTTTTTAATAGTGTGTGACCCTTCACCTTTGATCCCTTGACCTGCATTACTTTGGTAACCATTTCATTTTTTTAATTTCATTTCATTTTTAATTTTGGTGTGTAAGCTGTAACATTTCATCATTTTAAACTGTAGCGTTCTTTGACCTCCCCAGATGTCTTTTTTCTTTTCTATGAGGATGCGTAATGTTGCCTTTTCTTGAATAAACATTATTTCAGTTGTTAATAAAATATGTATTTTTCATTGGTTTTTGCTTCTTTTAAGTTTAACTGTGTGTATGTTGCCTGTATAATGCTTCTTTTGATCTGTGTTCACCCACTCAATCTATTTTGATATTTATGTACATCTTTGCTTTTAATTCACATTTTTTCTACAGTTCTTTTGTTCAGTAAATCCCATTCTCGTGGCCTGTCCGTGGCCCATCCGTATTCCCCTCTAGTCAACTTTCATAGCTTAAAGTAACCTTGGGAGCATTTCAGACACACTTACAAATAAGAGCTATTCTTTGCTGCTAAATTTTTTTTCCTGTCCTGAAGTTAACTTTTCCTAACCATGAGCTCCAAACTGATAGCTGTTTTAATAAAAGATTAGGCTTCAGACCAAAATGAAAATCTCACTTGAAACTCAATTTGCATTTATTTTTTGTTATCATTGGAGCCCAAAGGGAAGTTATCAATGCTTGGAGCTGTGCTTTAGGCATGGCTGTGCTTAGGGAAGCAGTGTTGTGTGTACGTGGGATGGCAAAGCCCCCAAAGCTTAGTTGGTTCTTTCCATTTTCCTCTTGAAAGGGAAGCAGTGGATAAGACAGATTTTGGCCAGATTCTATTTTTATCTGGTAAATGATCATATGAAATCCACTGAGCACAGCCCACTGAAGTACAGATTACTTTTTAAGTGTCTCATTATTTTATTCTCTAACATTTAATGCTGAAGTTTTAATTGCACACAGATGAAGCTGCTAAATGAGCACTGAAATGGATTTAGGTCTTCTCAGAGCCTTGTTGATGCTTATAAAACTTTATATCATTCATTAGGACTACAGATTAAAATTGTAGTGAGCTGTTCACGTAGTGCCACTGGGCTCTGCTGGTGCCTGGCCTCTGGAGGAGTCTGAAGATCACCTGAACACCCTCCTGCTGACCCTTTCCCAGGGACACTGGACTGCATTTGGCTCTGCTCCCCTATCTGGGGGTCCTGCTGACCTCCAGGGCTGAGCCTGAGTTGTCTCCTTCCCCCTTGAGTCCTCTGTGAGCCTTGAGGGATTCAGCCCTGGCAGGTTCTACCTGGTTCATGTAGTGAGGATGCACCATCAACACCAGAACCTGATTCAGGAAACGGGTTTGAATTGGCATCCCTGCCTGAGAAAGGTATTTCCAGCACTAATCTCCATGCTTAACCACAAGATCCCTGTTTTTAAACTGCCCTTGTGTGGCAGAATTGCCTGCTGAAATAGTGACAGATCCAGTATTCACAGAATTCCCTGCCCTTCTGTGTTAATTCTGTGTTACTGTGTGAGCTTCTCTGACCCTGTGGCTATGAGCTGTGCTGGACTGTCACAGCCTCCATCAGTGCTTGAAGCATTCAGGTGGATTTGCCTTTCCCCTCCTGTTCCAAATTTTAGCTGTTACTGTTTTTGTAGACCTGGAGTTGTCAGTTCTGGTGCACAGACTGCTGCTCCTCATGAGCCTGTCTGGGATAGCTGGGATTTGGCTTTGGCTTGGGTTTAATGCTACCTGTCATCCTGAGAAGAAGAATCTTCCAGACATCATCTTAAGCCTTTTCTCCAGTCTCCAGAACAGGGTTTTTAAAACTCAGTGGGAAAAAATACTTACTTTGCCCAAGAAAACCCCTTGAAGACTCTTTTTCTCCTCATAACACATAGTTTATGTTGGCAGCAGTTAGATGTGAATGCCTTGACTTTCCAGGGCAGCAATTCTTAAAAACCTTTATTTAAATGTCTGGAAACTGAAGGAAATCTCCTGCCCTGTGCAGAGGGCTGGCTGTTGGCTGCCTCCTGCTAGAACAAATAGCAGGGAAAAAGAAGAAATGGAATAAAAATGTCTGATGTTGGGAATTGGAGTCAATAATAAAAAAAAAACAGAGCATAAAGATGGTTAGAGTCTTGTTTCTTTTTTTTTTTTTTTTTGGTCTCATTTCATGTTTTGTCATGTCCATCCTGCCTTCTTTCATAAGGTAAGCACTCTGACCCATGGCATTCTCCGGGTGTAGCTCCCAAGGTGGTGGGATGACAGAGTGATGCATGCTTTGTTGTGGTATTTCCTTGTATTGTGTTAGATGCAGATGGTTATTCGCAGTAATTGGTGTAAATAATATGGGTAATGCCTGTTCAACTATTGCATGGGCTTCCAGGATGCTAGAGCTGCTGAGGGAGGAGGAGGTCCAGCCTTTGGAAGGGAGAGATGGGAATTGTTCCCCATTTCCTCTTTAAAACACAGTAAACATTGGCAAGAAAAGCTGCTTTGTTGACCCAGCAATAGCACTGCTATTTGCCCCAGTGTAAAATCTGTGCCTGGGTTTTTGCTGCAGTGCTGCTGGATGCAGCAGGAACAGCAACAGCTGACCCTTGGATGGCAAGAGATGATGGAACTTAATTCACTTTACTGTGCTTGTTTTTCACTGAGCAGTAACTCAAATACATGTTTTCATCAAACACTTAATCAAAGAACTACACAAATGCTGCAAAATGTTTGCAAAGCAAAACATTTGTCTGTTTAGATATTGAGAGAATACTCTATTGAGAGATTTGTTCCTGCTTACGAGGTTTTTCTGTTACTCAAAGCCAGAATGTTGACAACATCCACTCCTGAAACAAGTCTTAATTTTGAAATCTATGCAATATCTTCTGCTGCTGGAGGCTTTTATGTATTAACCTTAACAGAAGGCTGAAGGGCTGAAATGAAATCCTTGGCAAACGTACAAGATTCAGAGCGTTGCATGTCTTGCAGTTCAGGTAATGCAGCTGGGGTTGGATTAACCTAATCTGCTTTATTCAGCCTAATAGACACCTGTGTGTCAGCTGCATGTGCTACTTATTTAATAAAACATAGGCAGCAGCAAATTGCTCACTATGATCTGACTACTTTTGAAAATCGGATGTATTGGTCAGCACACACCATTTTCTGTTAACACTGAAATTCATCCAGAGGTGCAGGATGAAAGCACAGGACAGGTCTGTACTCAAGACTGTCCCTGGGAAAACACAGATTGCCGTGCAGCACCTGACCCTATGCAATAAACTGACCGAGTGCCAGCTAACCCTACTCATGTTTCAGGGCTGGTGGGTTCTAGGCATGGATCCTGCTGCTCCCACTGCTCTTGTGCACAGAGGGGAAGGGAATTCCCCCTTTCCAGAGCAGAGCCTGGGTGCTGCTCTGGCCCTCAGTGGGGCACTGGCTGTTGGGGCAGGACTGCAATCCCTGGCAGCCACCCGCAGGGAGGTTCTCTTTAGAGTGGGGGTGAATTTCTCAGGCTTATCACCCTGCTTGCTGCTCTGGGTGTATGTTGGTTTTCAAAGTCCTTAAACAATTTAATTATTGCTCCTGCTTTAATCTCTAACTTCTCGACATGCATTACGGACTCTGATGGCTGAGGGGTTGAGCTGGCGCCATTGGGCAGCCAGCCCTGACCCTCTCCTGTGCTTCTGCTTTTCCTCTGCTTCAAAAGTAGAACTGTAGCCCTTGACACCCTGCATTGGCTTTGTGTCTGCTAGAGCAGGGTCCTCTGCCTGTCCCCCGCTCTTAGCTGCACATTCAGCTCAGAAAATGCTCAGTGATAAACATGTGTTTTTATTTCTCCTTCAGGTTTGCCTTGTCTGCTTTTCAGCTCTTCTAGACATTGGAAATTCCAGTTTGTGTTTATTTTCTCTGGATTCCTTCCCACAAGACAGAAGTGAATTCAGCATGGATTATTGGGGAGAGCCTTGGCTGGGAATAAGGATAATTGCAGCCTCTGGCTGTGCCACAGTTTCACTGATGATTTCTTTTAAGTTACTCACCTGCACTGTATCTGTTTCCTCAGCTGTAAAATGTGGGTAATTACCTCCATTGTAAAATGTTACAGGGTCTGCTGGTAATTATATGAACGAAGTGCTAATTACAGTGATTATCCCTTGGACCTAGTCTAGATCTGGCTGATGTTCCTGTTGTGATGAACGGATGAAACAAATACTACAACTTGCTTTTCTCCATTCTTTGCGAGGGGCCTGGGAGGAGCCGCATCACACGATGTGTTCCCAGTGAGAAGCTTTGCTACCCTGTCACCCGGGTCCCTCTGTTCATTTCTCATTCCCCTCCACCCTTGTGTGTTACAGGGCTGTGGGCTGAGGAATTACTGATTCAGTAGTTGGATGCACATGTGATCTGATAGCCAGGGTTTATGCTGTGGCTTTGCTTTTCCTCTTGGGGATGTGTAGAAGGCAGCAGCCAGGGAACTGCTCCCGAGGTACCACTTGAGTTGGGGCCAGTCTGTGCTGCCGTGGCCTCTGTTAAGAAGTTCTGACCTTGATGACAGGAGAGGTGTCCTTCCAGCTGTGGAGATTATTTCCCTCCTATAAAGCCTACAGCTTCAAGACTTTATTATCAAACATTTTATTTGCCTTTCTCTTCTCCGTTTATTTAGGACACATTTTCTTTGTAGCTGGGAATAGCTCTATTATCCCCTGAGCAGGGCTGGGTAGTGGAGGAAGAACTGATATTCTTCAAGGTAGAAATGGAGTGTTCTCATCCAGAAAATCCTGCTGCTGCTGCTGGGAAGGTGCTGTAGTTTTTGTTGTAGTAGTAAGTCACATCGTATATCCGGTAATGAGAGAGTCTTCTCTCTTCTCCAATCCCTGCCTTCCCTGCTCACAGACCTCATGGCACAGTAACAACAAAAATCATGTGCTTGGTTCATCTTGCTGCAACTCTGCCTGCTCTGTTCTGCCACATCTTATTCCCTGCCTTCCTTGCTTCTGCTGGATGGGTTTTCTGCCTTTGCCTCCAGCCTCCATGCACCTGCTTCCCATCAGCCTCAGCCTTTCTTTGCCCTGGAACAGCAAGGCTCAGTTATGTCTTCAAAATTTAGTAGCTGAGCAGCTCTTCCTTTCTCAGAGTTTGACGAGTGTGATGAATTTTTAACTTTCAAGAGAAGGTTTTAGTTCCTGTCCGGGATGATGGTTGGAAGGGCTTTCTGGCAATGGGAAGGCAGTCTTTAATTGCAGTTTTGCACCTGAATTTTCCAGACTAGATGCTCTTCCTTGACAGCTTCTCTCTGATTGATTCTATGCCCTGTTCTTTTCCATGACAAGATACTTGAGTGCTCCATGGATGGGAGCAATGTGCCACTCCTGATAGGTGAAAGCATTCATTGCCAGGCAATGAGGGTATGGAAAGAACTTCTCTTGTTAGGTGCAGGAAAAAGTAGATGAGGGATTATCATCTCTCCCATTATTTGCTCTTGCCTTGCTTTAGAGTATCTAAACTATAGAGGTGTGTCTGTAGTGTGTCTGCACTTGACCTAATGCTCATCTGCCAGACTTGTTTGAAAATCCTTCATTTGGAAAGCAAAAAAGTCGGTTTGTCCCTGCAGAAGCATCATCTATTAAGATGAATTCATTTGGTGTGAGAGGCTTCAGAAGTGAACGATGCCATATCCATATTTTTACTGCCCATTGCAAAGTGAACTGGTTTGTGTGCTTTCTGCAAGTCACATGCTGAAGGATGTTAAATTACTGTGTAACCTGGAGGGCAATCAGTGATTCAGATTTGAGGTTTATCCAAGTCTAATTTTGCAGCATTCTTGCAATATCTGGAATTTGTGTATCTTGGCACCACTCTGAATGCTGTACATTAAGAGTGTAGATAAAACACTTCTTTTTTTTAAATTAAATGTTTAGTAACATAATAATTATAAACTTTCTAGAAAGTCTTCTTTCTCTTAAAAATAAGAACAGTGTTTGTTTCATTGAGGTGCAAAGTGTTGTGCAAAATCACTGCAACTTGTGATAAAAATGCTTTAAAGTATCCGAATGAAAATGCAGCATCACCATGAAAACAAAAGTGTTAATGCAGAAGTGGTTCCAAACGAGGTGCTGCTAAATGAAGGTTTTCCTGGTTTCGAGAGCCGGTTTTTCAGCAGTGATACACTCTGTGGGGGGCAACTGCACACCCCAGGGAAGGAGTTGAGGAGCACTTTTTGTGTGTCAGAGGTTGCTGCAAAGAAATCTATTCATTTTTACTTCTTTTTGTAATTACCTGTCACTGCTCGGCTTTGTGAGTCAGTAGGTGATAGATAAACACGCTGGCCGGTTGCACGCCGAGCGGAGCGGTGCCGGGAGCCCCACGGCTGCCCGGGCTGTGCCGGTGGCCCTGGTGCTTTTGGCATCGCCTCCTCACCCGGCCTCGCTCGCTACCGGGGACGTGCCGCCGGCACGGCCTGGCGCCTCGGAGCCGCCGGCCGGAGCTGCCGGTGCCCGCGCCGCGCCGGAGGAGGAGGAGGAAGAGGAGAGTTTCCATCGCGCCCCGTTTGCAGCTGCCCCCGTGTCTGTACGGACGCGGAATCCCCACAGGAGGGTGCTGCGAAGGCACTGAATGTGCAGGTTTGCAGGGAAGATGAGGGCTTGGAGGAGACGGCGATTGTAGGGCAGGCAGCGCCGTGGCTCTGGCAGGGGCAGCGCCTCGGCCGTGCCCGGGGAGGGGCGCGGGGTCGGCCCGGTGGTGCTCGCAGCTCCCCGCTGCCGTGCCTGCGGGCTCTGGCCCGGTGTGGGAGTGTGAGCAAAGGCAGCACGATCACCGACACTCGGGTGATGCAGGATCGAGGGCTTGGTAGCTGCAAAGCGTCCCAGGGTTGTTCCCCTGCCTCCTGCTCGTGGCTGGTGCTGGGACCCTTCCCCTGTGAGCAGTATCCGTGGCCAGCGGGTTGTATGGCTTCTCTCCAGCGAGACTTGGAGCCACCCAGCTACTTTCTTGTCTGTGTGTAGTATGTTTAGTCTGCACAAGTGGCAAAATGCATTTGCTTCCAAGTAAAGACAGCCTCCAAATTCTGTCCGAAAATACTTTGTAAGTTGGACCATTTTATTCAGTGTGATCAGATGAGAAAAAACGGCAAAACCTCCCTTTGGTTGCTGGCTGTGCAACCCTCCTCCAAATATTTTAGTTAAAGGGATTATTCCTTTTGCATAATACATGCTCATGCCAAAAAAACTTGTCTGACAAGGCCAGTTAAGCAGCACGTTCACGTGATTCTCCCTTTAGCTGTGTGCTGCTTCACCCTGAAATTGTGTGATCATTTAAAAGTAAACAACCCTCCACCCCGGGGGCTGCACACATCCGCTCTGCCCCTCACTTCCTTCTGCTGCTTCTCACTTAAAATAAACTTTTGAAACGGAGGATTATATAATTGAAGAAGAGACTTCTCTTTGAGATGACCTTTAGGACATGTGGGGGGATTCAGTTTAATTCTGGTACATGGGAGTGTGGGTGCTCTGATCCTTTTAATGGCAGCAGGATCAACTGATGGAGCTGTTGTAGAGAGGGGATGTAAAATCAGCTACTCATTACATCAGAGCACCTCACTTGGAAACCTGGGATTGAGATCTGTGTGCAAGTCCCTGTGGGTTCCCTGCTGGCCATGGAGACACCACGGCATGTGCTGGTTCAGTACCTGGGTTTGGATCCCGGCTGTTTGGATGGAGGACCATGTCCAGCAGTGACGGTGCTCTGTGGGTTTGGCACTCATGTGAAATTGCATCACCAAAAATCCCTTTTGGTGGGATGAGTGATCCTAAAGTTTGGCTAATACACACTGTGGAAGAGGTGCCTGGCAGCAGTGGGGGCTTTGCCTCAGCACCTGCATGGCAGGACAGAGCTGGTCTCGTCTGAATGCTGTTAGATCAGCTGCAGGCGAATACAAATAGACTTGGATTTTGGCCCTGTAAAGGGAGACTTTTCAGCTTCCCCCGGGAATTCTGCCTTGGCAGAAACCAGCTGTAGTTCAGTGGTTTCTGTTACCAGGCAGAGTCTGTTTGGATGTTAGAAAATTAGAGCAGAAATTCCTGCAGCAGTCAGCTGTGTCTGCGTCACCTCTGTGACCTCTAACTGCTACTCCTGCAAACAGTTGCCATTAAACACAGTCAATAACCCCCTTCTGCATTCCATTGGATCGTCTCTTCCTGCCATCTCAAATGAAAAATAAACAAAAGAGCTTAAGCGTGCAACGTGCTAAATAGACTAATCAGCTGTGAAAATATTTTATGGGGGAATCTGGGGCAAGAGCTGTCAGTGGGAGTGAGCTGATTGGAGCTGCAGCAAAACAGCTCCGGGAGGCGGCCATGGGGACAGAAGGGAAGGATTTGTTCAAATGCATGCCTGCTTTTTTTTTTACCCCTTTCTGAGTAGTTTTAGGAAATCCCTCCCTCTGTAAATTGATTACCTCTGCACATCAGAACGCCTTGGCTCTAAGTACGCACTAAGCTGCTCCTGTGCTGATTTGACTTTGCCTGTTAAATGTAAAACAGGTTTTAATCTTCTCATTTAGATGTTTTAATAGAAAGTAAATGTTTAACTTGCTTTGCTGTGGCCTCCAAATCTTTAATCCGTGGGAATGTTTTTAATGAAAGGAAAACCGTGCTTTTGTTTAAAGCACGGGTGATGCTGCAGGCAGTAGAGCTGGTGGGGGGAATTGCAAACCCACACCAGGAATTTTTGGCACTGATGGATCCTGGATTCGGAGATTATGGGTTTAGGAATACGCTGGGAAGAGTGACAAGGACCCTGTCTTGGGACAGTCTGTGGCTGGGAAGGGGTCTATAACCATGCTGTAAGTTCAGTGTCAGTGATTCCTGCCCCCGAATTCAGAATCGTCCCTGTGTTCTGATCTTACAGGGCTGTTGCTGCTCCAGCAAGGGAGAGCTGAGCAGGGCCGTGAGCTTGCCAAGGAAACCACAAAGCAGGCAGCACCAGGTTTTGTTCTGCACGCAGAAGGGGGGGGTTCTGCTCTTCTGAAGCCACTCAGCTTACTTATGATTTAATTTAATGTAATTTGTTAAAAAAAGATGTGTGGCTTCAGGACATATATACGGCTGGCAGAGTACCATGACAAAGTCAAAACTGAACAAGGAGTGGAGCATGCAGTAAA